CAAGCCTGCCTTTCTCAGTTTCTACCAAGTCACTGCGAAGTCTAGATTGAAACCGACCCAGTAAACAAACCGGCATGCTTCATGCAGTGTGCCAGGGTGGGCGGGAACACTCCCAGCACTCAAAAGGCACCGGGAGCCTACGGTGGTCCAGGACGGAGGTGTTCATTCGTTTCCACTACGTTTGTATTTGTATACGTCGCCTGTACTTTAATAGCCCGATAGGACATGAGTGTTCATCCGATCATCACTAACCATTAATGATTATCACCTGAATACTGCGTCTGCGCTGTCGATGGATGCCCCACAGCGACTTCTCTGCAGTATCCCGCTGTTTCCCACCACTGCACACCTCTGGTAATGTTTAGTCCTGAAATTAAAGGAGATTCCTGTGGGGAAAAAAACAATAATCGTTGGAAAGTCACGTTTCGGACGTGGTCACGTGGGTCATCTGAAGAACATATGCATACTTTGTCTAAGACAGTGTGCGTAGTATGATTTTTAAGGATGGTCTCACTAGTATACTGATGCTGACTGACCATCGCAATAAGCAGTTCAATCAATATAGCATGGCAATTATCAGTTCGACCAATAAGGAGAGTGGCTGCATGTTCTTCTGGACCGATCGCGAGGTGAGCGGCAGCTATGGGATCGGATTGAGTTCAGTTCGATTATTGGTAATGGTTAACTCCGAAATTACCTTGGGTAAGACACTGTAGATGTCCCTGGTTATTTTCAGCGGTAGTTTGGGGTTGAGCACGTTGGGTAGCACGTCTCCCACTCTGACGTTCCGTTTGGTCATGACGGACGACTCGACGTCACAACACTCCGCCAGCTCATGCCTGATGAGGAGAGGAAACAACACGTACACATATTTTGTTTTGTTAGTGGACGAAGCTGTTTTGAATTAAGTGCCGATGACACCAAAATGCAGTTTCTGACTTATATTCAACAACTGTAATATAGAACACACTGTTGCATAACGTATACACCCTTCTCATCACTCTATACTTACTTTATCTGTCTGGAAAGCACTTTATTTTCCCTCCACGTCCCTTTAAAGGTACGCATAGCTTCGACGAGATCTATAGAGCTGTCGTTTGAACTTTTCCCCACGATGTCGAGCTTCGTTGGGGATTGTGATTTATCTGATGAGCTGTTCCTTTCCAGTGAGTCCTTTAAGACTGTGTTTATCAGGCGGATGATGTCAGCTTTCGTGTCTCTTGAAGTCCTTTCGTTTTTCCGTGCCGTTTCAGAGTCGTCGCAAATACACCCGGCATTTATATGTATGCTCCTTGTCTCCAGACTGAGAGAAACAAAATGAAAATAAAGTCAAGCGACAGTACTAGGACCTAAGCAGGATTTCAAACAGAAAGTTAAGCCTGTACGCACTGCGACCTTCATCAGGTTAGGATGACCCCTTGCACCACGTGACCTTACGTGGAAAGGTGGAAGTTGTGGAATGGACGGTTGGTGTACGTAATCACGACCTCAGCAATGGCGGGGCGTTAAACATTCCCTTGGAATTTTGACGTATATGGACAAGAATGTAAAGTATCAGGTACATACCGGCTGCTGGGAGGATCTGAGATAGCCAGCCAAATGGATTTCCGTCCAATCAGTGTGATGGTAACAGTGCACGCTACCAGGAGCAGGGTGAGGATAGTCGAAACCGCATTGCCCTCGTTTGCCGAACTCTACAGAAATAGGGTCAAACGTAGAATAAGAACATGAAAAAATATAGACACTCAAAGTAGAGGGAAATGAACACAGCCAACATCAGGTAATCGAAAATCTTGTGACGATTTGGACTGAGCAAAGACGTATTACTAAGTAAAAACTAGTAGAAAACAATGATACATGTGGTACCTATCATTCTGCCTTAGCCAAAACCCCTGTATCAGATGACCAACTTGTACATGTTGGAAGTCCTTTCGGCTGGTCAAAACAAGTAGTTTCTCTTGATCAAAGTATGTTCAGGTTGGGTCCGACGGTTGACAACAAAACTTGTGAGTCTGAATGTCGGCGAGGCTCTCGCTTTGACTGGAGTTGTCCAGCTGTACTATTTGTTGCAAATTACCTTGGACATCATCAATTATATCAAGCGGAAATACCAGGTGTGCCGAAGGATAACATTCTAAACACGGGCAAATGTATGGGTTTTGATTGGTCAAGAATAGCTAATCCCATAACCCTGACCACAAGAAAATGCAAATATGTGACGGGCATGTAGCCACTCTCTCACTACTGACCAAGTTGGTCAAACTGCTAATGCCATGCTATCATTAGCTGAACTGGTGATTGTGTTGAAAACGAAAGTCAGGATAGTTTGGTTCTATTTTAACATTAAAACTTTGTTTAAAATCATTTCTACTTTTAATTTGCAATTTCCATAACTCTCATTCAAATTCTGAAGCTGCTTTATGAAGAAAGAAAAAGGAAGAGTTGAAAAACCCTTAATAGAATACCATGGCATTACCTTTGGCGATCCGAATGACATGACTCTTACGTGTAATATTGGCATAGGAGAAATATGATACTAGTATGTAGCACATTTCTCATTTGCTTGAGAATTAATTTATCTAATAATTCCGTAAATTGTTTAATTGTAGCATACCTTAAAATCGAGAGTCGTCGTAAAAAAGTGAAATAAGAGATATTACTTCCAAAAGAATTTTACTTCAATTTGATAGATACATCATCATCAATGGTACAAATATTTATGTCGTTCGTGTTTTGTGCATTAGAAATAATATGGTACGGCGACTCTATGTCATGTATCACATGACTCAAGACTTGTCGCAAAAGTTAACCTTTCGTTATTACACGCACGTATTAGTAATTAACTATACACACTCACATACAAACTCAGAGTCTAAACCACTATCGCTTGGCACTTAGCATGTGTGATGTTACACAAAATAACACTGTCACATAGTTGTTGAGCTAGCGTGGGTAGACGAGACAAGGACATTATACTTTTATAGGTCTCTATATAATGTCGTTGGACAAGGCAAGTCTGGAGGCAAATCTCCATGTACATATCATATCTACCTTGCCCAACCCACTCCCTTGGCTAGTCCACCAGCTGCGGGCTATGTCGATGGACCAGGTAGCTATAGGTAAGAAATGCATGACAAAAATAAATACATAGTAGGTAGTCTATATGTAGGATAGAAATATCCTAACAAGCACAACATTTGTGATGCACAAAAACAAGAAAAAGACGCGGTCTTTTCTTCTACGTATACGTTTAATAGTTTCCATGATCATGATGATGATTACGACTTGTGACGGCGAGAGATGGGTCCTTGTGTCATTTTGATCTTTTCCTCTCTTTCTGCACTTACACGAATTCGCCAATTGGACCGTTCACATGTTGGTTCCGATCACGTGAATGCTAGCCGTAATCACGTGAATGCTATCTGAGATCACGTGAACAGCGCATGTGAACCTGGATGACGCCGTCCTGGTGGAGACGCCGCACTCTCATGAACTCCAGCGGCATGTCGTGCGAGTCCTTGGTGAAGACAGGCGCCTCGTAGTAATGGTAGCCCACGGCGTCGCCCTTGTCATCGTATGGGAAGGGCCAGAAGCCATAGACGTGGACCTCGTCACAGCGTGTCATGGCCATACTGAGCAGGTAGATTCCTGTGGATCCAAAGAAAAAAAAGAAAAGATAATTAAGGTAACTGACTGACGCTCGGCGTTTTTATGTATCGGAGGGGTATTCTATCGTTTAAGTATGCAACATCCGATCTTTAGTTATTTCATTTAATTGTTAGAAAAGTGTATGTGCTTAAAATTGCAGCTTCATTAATTCCTTCACAACAATGTCTAGAACATCTGAAGTGTGTACACCACCGGGATTTCTCATGCTTCAATGATTAGATAGATTTAGCGATGTTTAATGTGTAGGTTATGTGGTAGTTATGAGCTGGCTGTATGTGACTGCTAACCTGATGTGATTTTCTTAGGAATGCCGTGGTTGTTCCAGTAGGTGTTGGTGCGCAGGAAATGGTGTGGATGTTCGTACACCATCTGCAGTTCGCCTCCTCTGGCAGCTGCGATAGAATCGATCATGTACTTGGTGTAATCTGAAAATCAGACAAGAGAAAACTAAATCAACAACAGATAAATAGATAAAGTGCAACTTGTCCAGATTAACTCCCAGGTAAAGTGACCACATTTTCAGTACTGAGCACTAATGTCCTTTGAAAGCTCGTGACAATGCTGAACTGATCAGGATATTCGTGAACAATAGTTTAATCCGTTATTTTCAATATAAGTGGCATTTTGCTCACTACTTAGAGAATTGGTATGTAGTACTCACTGTTGGGTTTCTTTGCAGACAGAATGCCGCTGTATTGCTCCATGTCCTTTAAAAATTGCTCTCTCACAGACTCTTCGTTCATTTTTGCGTACCTGCAACAAATGGAAGTGCAGTTTAAACATGGCACTTTAGAAATGATTAGCGACGGACCATTACTATCAATAGCGTTCAAGAGTTTGATGGCGACCTTGGTTTACTAGTATATGTATTTAATTTCTGAATTAACTACCACAATTTCACCTTTCAAACAAGGCTGACACCGTCCCACGTGAAGAATTTTTGGAGGTCATTTTTTCCAGCAATTTTGGGAGGTCCTTGATTTGAAGCAATTTTGGAGGTCCTAGCTTAGTTTGGAGCCATTTTTGTGGGCCCTAGCTATAGGTTTTAGGCAATATTTGGAGGTCCTTACTTCTAACCAATTTTGGAGGTCTTTAATTTGGAGAAATTTTTGGAGCTCGAGGTTAATGGGTATGCTCGGCCAGATGTTTGAATTCTGATTCAGGTGAACTAGTTTCGTTTGATACGAATTTAAAGTGCCAAAAAAGTGGAGAAACTTACGACTTCAGCATTGACAACGGAGCAGTGGTGAAACTTGATTTTACCCCGGCATCCTCTTGATAAATTTTCTTCCCGAGCGGTGGTAGGTTACACCTGAATGAGAAACATTTCATCTTTCACAACAACATTGCATTATCTTACAATAATGAGCTTCACTCTGTATACGAAATCATGATTGTTCTGGTGCACCGCTGGTTCAAAAGGGATTGCTGTACGTTCTCTGGAACTGCAGCTTTTTGTTACTATAATATAAGTCAGTACGGCAATGTTGATTGAATTACAAGTACTAGTATGTTGATTACATCCACGCGCGCATGAATTTTCGTCCGTTTCAAGGAAAAAGTTTTTGACCATACTGTAAATCATACAAAGGAGCTGCAAAATGAGCAAAAATATGCCGTGAATTCCAACGAAAATATTGAAAAACGATTATTATATATACTATTGTAGAATGCCAAACCAAAGTCAATTCCGATCAAAAGGCAATGAAGAAAAAGTGTATTTAGTCATTTTTCCAACCTTCATGACCACATGGTTTTCATAATGGGGACATTTTTTGTAGAACTTTTTCTTCGTACGTTCGCTTTTTTTATTAGTTTTGGGGTTCCCAGAGGATGTCAACCATATAATCAAACCCAAACATGGCCTAACTGGCTGACCTGAACACGGCATCTGCACTGTCGATGGATGCACCACAGTGGCTTCCCCGCAAGATGCCGCTGTTTCCGACAACTGCGCATTTATTGAAGCGTTTGTGTTTTAAAGGCCAGTCCTGTGTGAAAAAAGGAACTCAGTTTGGTGAGTTAACGATAATGTACCCTTTCAAACAACCAGCTCACAACGTCTGTCCTTTTATCAACTAGGTACGGGAGGATCCGGAACTAATGTGCTAACTTAACGGTAAGATTGTTAGTGTATTCCAAATGATAGGCAAAGACTACACTCTTGTTTTCATATTACATGAACAAACCTACCTTTATCAAGTTTCTGTACATGTCCCTGGTCATTTTTAGAGGTAGTTTTTTGTTGAGAACATTCGGCAGAATTTCCCCCACTCTGACATTCCGTTTTGTCAAAAATGACGACTCGGCATCGCAACAGCTTGTCAAGTCACGTCTGAAGAATGAATAACAACAGCTTGAACCATTATATATAATTACCAAAATCTATTCAATTGCCTAACATCAATATAGACAACAGTTAACAAGCGTAATGGATATGTAACATTAACTATAGGAAATTTTCTAAACAGGCCAATGAAATTATGTGATATTGCTTGAACCTGTTTCCCATTCTGAGAGGTCCATGATCAGTAAATCAGAACCCCACAGAAAGCACCTAAAGGCTAAACACAGCCACGAGTTGTCAGTTGATCACTTGGGGACATGTCTTTATTACATACTCACAATGCCCAGTGGTGCTGGAAAGTTGAGATGAATCATTATCAAACACGTGGTTCAATAGATGGAGGGACACAACCGAACCTAGCCTCACCATCTTCACGGTGCTTAGGGAATGCTGTCCGCACGTCCAAGAGCATTATCACCACATGTAGTTCTTTTTGTACTGGGCCGTTTCAATTACTACTTCGCTTAGCTATTAAACGTAATGTGTTTTACTCACTTCATTTCTTGAAAAAGTGTCTCATTTTTCTTCCACTTCCCTTGAAAGGCGCTCATAACGTCCGTCAAAACCAGTGAGCTGTCATTTTTCACGCTAGACACTGATTCCGTCCCCGCGATTCCGAGATACTCGCCACTAGAGTCTTTCGTGCTCGAACAATTCCGCGCTATGTTGATGAGAAGTTTTCCGTCCGCTTCCTCCAGGATGTGGTCCCTCCTGATGCCTTCCCTGACGATGATGTCGATGAGGCGAGATATCTCATCCGTTGTCTGCCGTTTGGCAACACTCATGTCTCTTGCCGAATCGCCAGGGGGACATTTCCTGGGTCGCTCCCCAACACAGTTACACCCGCACCTAGTCTTCATGCTTCTCCTGTCCACTCTGTATGTCGAAGGTGCAATGATGTAACAAAATCATTTACATTATATGCGTACATAAATATATATGATAACATTTTCAGCAAAAAACGTTAACTGAAAATCAAAAGCACAGTAATATAGTACATCTAGGTCCCCAGTGCCTAACTACAACATTTTTGAAAGTACATTTTATTTGATATCACAAGAAGCAAACGTCACAGAGATTACTTGTTTCATCTTTCGAGTGGATATATAGTTTTTCCAATATGCATTGTTGAATTACAAACCAACCAACCAACCAACCAAACAAACAAGCAAACAATCAAACAAACAAACAAACAAACAAACAACCAGCCAACCAGCCAACCAGCCAGCCAACCAATAACCAACCGACAAAATAATAGCGCCCAAAAGACAAGACACAATACGCCTTTGCCAGTGAAAGATCTGTTTAAAGATGAGTTGTGAGTACAGACCTGTTGCCGTGAGAGTCCGTGCCCACCAGCCATGTGATGTTGCAGCCCATCATGGCTATCGTGACCAGATACACTCCCAGCAGGGCGATGACGAGAGCACTGGGGGCCCGAAACCTCATCATCCGCGGCGCAGAAACCCTGCCGAAGTTTACAGTTGGAATCATCGATGATAAGACAACTTGGAGAGGCGCGACGCTCCCCGGAGCATGCGGTGCTGAGTGAGTGAGTGAGTGAGTGAGTGAGTGAGTGAGTGAGTGAGTGAGTGAGTGAGTGAGTGAGTGAGTGAGTGAGTGAGTGAGTGAGTGAGTGAGTGAGTGAGTGAGTGAGTGAGTGAGTAAGAATGTTTCGTGATCATACTAGTGTGTGGGTAACATTGTCTGTAATGGGGACTATCGGTCAGATCTTGGATTAGAAACAATCACCATTCTAAATTACCTAGGTACGCAATGACCTACTTATTAGAGCTATACAAAAAATACCAGAAATACGAAATAATGATGCAAATGTGTTAAAAGAAATTGTATGTGTCATTCACATGAAGGTTTTGAGATCTCATTAATGTTTTCAAGTTTGGGGCCAAAGTGTTACATATTGTTACATGGGCATTGAAAGCACCCGTGTCTACAGTGTTAAATCAGCTATATAATTCGTATCTGGTGAGTAAAATCATGATTGACGTGGGTATACATTGGTAATTTATATATCCACATATGCTGTACCATTGTTTTAGATAGAGAAAATCTACATGCCCGTTTAACCACTATTCTATAAAGAAAATTGATAAACTATTGATAAACTTAAAGCTTGTTATAGAAACAAAAATCGTTTTCTCACCTGCAAATCACAATGGCAATGCAGTCGTCTACTAAGTCAGACATAACCGAATGTGTTGATCGAAGATCCGAAGGTTTAGGCTGAAATCATTGAAGAGTCACTAAACCCGAAGGTCGTCAAATGTAGCCACCAAGCCGTTGAAGAAACTATTGAAGGCCATAGCTCAACAAAATAGAAACTAAGATTGTATCTAGGGGAGAGATAAGCTCTCGAATTGTATTCCCTTTTCTGACATGCAATCCCGGGCGAGTGAATACAGATAATTATGCATGGGTCAGGAAACCTGTTAGTGGATGGGTCAGCAGACCGGTTGGGCAACTTTCTGAGTTACTCGCACCAGATGGGGCATTCCAAGAAGGGTTTCAGGGGGGGATTGTTTTATTCCCTTATGTTGCTAATTATGCATCACACACTCACACACACGGCAGTATAGAAACACACATACAGATGACTCAAATACGAGACAGGCATGATTTCATTCTTTCTTAGTTTAATGTGACATAAGTGGTCATGACTTGATTATAGTATCTATAGGACTGTACAATGTCATGGAATATAGGTCTGAATAGTCACAGAAAGGCACTTGATACAAGTATGCAACAGCAGCAGGTAGCTAACAATTTCACATATCTAATTTGTCATTTGCAAAAAAAATCGCAACAATTTTCAACACCTTCACAGATAATGTAAGCATATAAATAAGAACAACTATGGAAACGTTGCTTTAATATCGGTGGAAGGGTGTGTTGGCGTGTACTACATGCACCGCACGTTTGAGTCGCTAGATGTCATGTTTTCCTTACAATGCTTTCGGTGTCATGGACGGCTTTTTAGCTTATAAATTGTTCGACCCCATGGATGACTGCATTAGCCTCGGTACCATCCTACTTGTATCCTACAAGTACTTGTTAGGGAAGCGAGTGTGGGATGGTACCCAGGCTATGACTGCATTACATGAAGAAGGTTACATCAAAATTTCTTTTTTAAAGTAGGTTTGTCATTTTCATGCCCGCAACAATATTAATATTAACGCTTGGGGTGACTTATTGTTCAAAATATTCAAGACTCAATGACATGGCAATACATTTTATGCTCTACACATACGTTGTCATGCTGCATATACGATGAATACGTCATGGTCAGTCGTCATCAGTTCAAATTCTGGCGGACTAGATCACCAGAACGCGAGAACGTGGTCTGATGAACGATTTCACAGAGAACTACGTACACACGGGGAAACTACAGAGTGACGCGTTTTTGATCGCGCTACGGCATATTTTGCCTTGTCATGTTGACATTTTAGAAACGTCATGGCCGTAGTTTTGTAGTACAGTATTTTGTCATAAGTTCTGACGTGCTCCGTCATGGATCAGAACGCGAGTAGTCTGATGACCTCCTTGACAGGAGAGCTGCAGACAGGGCAGTACGCTTTCGGGATGTACTTCTTGAGTTTGATGGCGCACAGGTGGCACAGACACACGTGTGCGCAGGGATACACAACACTGTCCTTCGGTCGCTCCTTCTTGTAACACATGGAGCACTCCGTGTCGGCGTCTTGCTCCGCCTGTCTGGGTTTCGTTCCCATCAAGACGTCTTCCAAGTCGTCTTCCTCCTGTGTCTGTTCCTCCTCTCGTAGGGTGTCTTCGCATTTGATCACACCTGGAGATGAATCACAGAAAAAATAATGTTGTACATTAGATTTGATTAATTGGTTTGGATGTGTGAATACTTGCTGCTATGCATGGCTACCTGGCTAGTTAATTACAACAAGAAGGATTAAAACCAACCTCATTGTTTATAATAAAGGCTATCGATCACAAGGGGCTACTGAGAATTTACAGTATACATCACAAGCGGTTACAAGGCACATATAAAGCTGCCTAGAAACACAAGGCCTATATTTGCGGACAAAGTACACGGCGAAAGATCCAAAGAAACAAGGTTACTTCCGACACACGTGATGATTGTAACATGAAAGGAAAAGTTCTTGCAAAATTAGCTTTTTCGTTTACCAGGAACAAAGTTCCGTCTAGAACTGCGACTTTCAACCCGATCTACAAACTATAACTCAAGATTAGCTGCGGTATCTGACCACCTGTTGATTCACTCTTGAGTCCGGCAAAATATTGAATGACATAACGACAAGATCCAGGCTGTAATGCCCAAACAAACGCAGGTACTTTGCGCGTGTACTTACCCAACAGTCTGATAGCCTGCGTGCTTCCGTACACGTCGAACAGTGCCCACAGTGGTCCGATGTTGAGGTCAACGTTCAGTAGCACCATGGCGCCTGCCCCGTTCACATCATAATGAACGTTCCCTTCTTCCGTGATCATGAAGCTCAGTTTGTCTCCGCTAGAGGGCACTTTGAGTTCTCTACTCAGTTTCCAGTATTCTGACAACTCCGTACGCTTCATCACCAAGATGTCTGCGTTGTCGGGCAGACCCGTCTTCTCCGTATCGCTGGCGAGCTTGGCCGGGTCACACGAGGTCACGCCGAACCCCATCGAGCCTGCGTACTGGGCGTTTACCTCCAACACTTCCACGAACAGCATCTCATTGGTCACCATTGGTCGTGACGTGAAGGCCAGGCTGTTCCAAAAAGTGTTCCGTTTCCGGCGCACGACCTTGTGTTTGTCCTCCAGCCGGATGTTGGTCCCGCGCGCGTTGTTGAAGAAGATGCGAGAGGAGTGGTCGGAGTCCTCGTCTCCGTCGCCCTTGTGGTTCCCGACAGACTTCTCGAAGGCCTCGACTGCCTCTTTTGCTGCCTCTTCATCTAGAAAGATGACAATTGCACATGATAATTGATAAAAATATCTTATTTAGCTTCTATCCAATATTTATGTTTAAAACACAGATACATTTTACAGATACATATTCAGGATCTTACCGACAATAGAAATCTCCTCTGTCTTGCCGAAGACGTCAACCAGTGCCCAGAGCGGCTTGGTGTCATCTAACCCCTCCAGAAAGACCCCCTTGTTCTCTAAGTTGATGGAATAGTTGACCGTGCCCTTCTCGGTAAGGTAGAATGAAAAGATGTTGTCCTTCTGTGCGTATTTCTCCATCATTGGAAGCGCCCAATACCTGAACGGACAGAAGGGAGTTAAACAGCGTCATTTCAGTGTTGTCTTGTTAATTTAGTATGTCCTCTCGGGGTTACCGTACAGAATATTATAGATTGCGAATAAACATCTCAATGTTCTGTTTTTTCTACACAATGAACATGTATAGCGTATTTTCTCTCTTCACTCTAAGTGCAGTGTTTAGCGGTGGACGTATGAAAGCTTTTTTTCCAGAGTACCATTTTCAGCAACCGTCAGATCTATCTACAATACATATGGACAGCGCCGACTTCTTGCTTATTTGTGCCCTTAGACTACTTTAAAGTGTTCCTCATGGAGCTGAATTCCTGTTCGCACGAAAATATGGTCTTATTTCAATGAGACTGACGAGGTATAATGTGGAGAGCAAATTCGCCCTGAAAAAGTGTATAGTTGAACACGTACCTGGGTTGTTTTGAAGTGTCCGGTACGGCGTACTCCGGGAGTAAGTCCGAGTCCACAGTGCACGGGTTCGTCATGGTGAAGCCTAGTTTCAGAACACCTCTCCAGCCAAGCTGGACCTTGTTCATCTTCAAATGTACCTTCTCTCCCACCCGTATGGGTCTGTTACTGAACGTAATGCCGTTACAGAAACTGTCCGTCCTACAAGCAGTCCTTCTGTCCGACGACAACTCGATGTTCTTCCCGTGTGTGCTGGAGAAACGGATCGGCTGAGCGAAGGAGACTTTCCCGGTCTCCATGTAATGGCCCATGGAGGTGACGGAGTTTCTCTCGCGATCGGTCAGGGTTGTCTTGGGTCGGGGTGAGATTTCCGTGGCGGTTTTGGGAGGGGAGAGTGATCTGCGCCCGAGAGCACCCGGGGTGGTGGTGGGCCGGTTGTCATGGCTTGCCATTGCCCGGAGAAGGCGGGAGTCGACTAATAAATAGAAATAAAAAAATTATTATCATTTGCACAAGGACAAGGACGAAGAAACAAATATCAATATCACATGCACGTAGAATATTTGCCATCCCTTTCTGGCCAACTCTCATAGATAGTCGTTCGATACTACGACTGATAATTTAATGTGGGATAATGTGAAGTGTTCGTAGTTGTTAGTGACGCTGCTTCTGGAAGGCCGCGACTGTTGTCACTCACGTCATGAAAGTCACGTTGCACTGTTCATTGTACTTGTTCAAAAGAGCTAGGAAACTTACTCAGTACCATGAACCTGTATAGTGTCAAAGGGTAGCTCAAGTGTTCATTGATGAACGATTGCTTTCACTTTCACATGTGAAGAATACTTACTTCTGATGAGTGCAGAGATGTCCCATCCTGCGATCTGTCGGCGCCGGCGTCTCGGGCTCTCGTCATCTACACAGATAAGAAAAAATATTCAGTGCTACAAAAATGCCTCCGCTCCTGAGGTGTCGCCAAAAGCAACTGTAAAATGTAAGCCCAGTGATACCCCTGCTTTATTTGACCAAGAGGATTAGTTTTAAAAGAGTCAGTCATATGCGGTCCCCCAGATCTTGTCTGGGGGTTCTTATTCTTCTTACATGTCCAATGTATCCTTATAATCATATGTTGGTAATTGTTATAACCAGACACGAAATACGTCAACAACAATGTGCATTATTTCGCCAACAAGACTAGTTGTAAAAGGGATACATATAATGTCTCCCAGACCAGACTATCCATTGAAACTATATCCTTCTAGAGACAAATTATCTATCGTGTTATATCGGCCATCGGAACTCGACACAACAGAGAACAATACACTGTCTGACAGCACACCCTTGGGGGCTTTTTATCCGTCCATGGCGACCCTTGAGAATTAGGCCAAACAAAAACCTTGCGTCATATCAACTTCAACGTTTTACTTACTAATAACCTCCTCAGCAGGCCAGGCTGTACGACTGGGGCTTTTGAAAATGCATTGTTTTTCTTACGGAATATCACTTTTTGTAGTTGAGGTCTTGTGCTGGCAAATAGCAGTGATATTACCATAAGTAAAAATAATATCACAAAAAGTCGCAGTTACAGAGCCTGCTAAGAAGGCTACATTTCACTGACGTATAACAAATCGTTTGAGTTCTAACACACACGATATACTCGGCATGCGGTGCTCTTAGAGACCTTTGTCTGAAATGTCAAGAGTCGACAGACAGTTAGTTTGAAACAACGACAACAAAGCATGATGACACTGTGGATGGATTTATGACGTACTGACATATCGTCTTCACTAAGCTCTGTAACCAGCCATCTACAATTAGTAAATTATACACCTGCATTCTGTTTCAATAAGCAATGGAGCCATCTTAAACCAGCTTTTGTACAAAAAAGTTGAGATAATGACTCACGGACGGATGACAGAACAACCTACATAGTCCCCCTGCCCCACCACCACTATATGTACATACTATATGCGAGTTTAATGTTGTAGGATGTTATCATCGTATCGAATGGAATGGATTGGTTTGGAAAGGGCATTTAAGACACAGGATAAATGACTAGGTTCTACACTAATTGTATTTTACCAAATACTGTAAATTGAAATTATATATATCATCATCACATTTGCAAATGCTACTCTATCCATACAGTTTTAGCGGGGTATACGGTTATGTGAAAACACCCTACTGTGATTTGGAGAGATAAAAAGCACGAGTTTTATCAAACGAATCTGCCTTTTTGGAAAGTTCCTTTTGTTTGTGATATTAAGTGAATGTTTATGGGTGCCATGTAACTACAAGATAGGATCTACCCGCCCAATTATGTCGTTAGTAACTTGTCTAACAAGTCAACCCTCTTCTGGTGTACAGTGTATAATTACCCTGTAATGATGGTGGCAACATTTCAGGTGCTTACTTTTGACTCCAACAATAAAGTCACTAATGAAAGCTGAATCTTACTGGATTCCAAGTAGTAACGATAATAAAGTGCAATACACTGTACCTATACCTGTACCTGTACTGAGCAATTCATATTTAGAACACCGATAACAATGAGAGAGAAAGTCGAGCTACAAGTGTCAAAAGGAAGCTATGAATGGCACGATTTTTTTATCATAATATTTTCAAGGAGGCTATGACAGGCGCGACTGTTGACAAAAAAATGCAGTATGGTAACCTAGCTCGACCGTCAGAAGACAGCTGGATTCTGTACGACAACCTCCCCTCCCAACTGTCACACAAATGATGTCCTCAATTTGCTGTCGTAAACCTGTCGTAGGACAAATGAACAGGGGCCCTAACAGTTGTAAAGTAGTGTGATCTGTCGATAGTTGAGGGTCTGTATCAATCCGTACTTACCGTCGTCAAGTTGTTCCCCCTCCATACTTCCTCTCGAATCCATTCTCATCCTCACCAGCCTTCAGTAGTCGAACCCTCTCTGATTATAAACAAAAAATACGTCAACAAACCAACAAGCAGATGTCAAAACATTACAACGTAACAAAAGTTAAAGTTAGATATAGACATTCACGTACCTTGATTCCTATACATTTATCCAGCATGACTAAAATTATTATCTGCGTGTTGCTTTCACCTAAGAACCATCGTCTATATCATGTCGACTCGATCTAATGCATTCTTGAGTATACTGCCAAGTCATGCACATAGTGTAGGCAGGTTCCTGGGTGGATGCACGACAATATGATCTAAGCCTCTAAACACGGTAATTGATTGAGCTCGGTAGAATGTATACACAGGTCCCGAGGGAACCTAGAGTTTCGCAACCATGTTTTGAATGACATTTTCAGATCGCTAACCTAAAGGTCAAAAGTTACACAACATTTACTCTAAGCTAACTCGTCAGAACTGGAAGAAAAAATGGAAAATTCAAGCATCTTACCATTTGTGTGACGATCTTTGAACTAGAGTTTAGATTGCGACTGTGTAACTTTCACATGCTCAAAATATTCGGTTGTTTACATAGAGCAATTATGTGAACGCATTGGCCTGTGACCAATACACCTGTCCATAGAAACCGTCAACACAATAGACAACAAGTTAGTCCTCGACAAATAAGTTGTGTTTGAAATGGGCTTATTGTGTTAAACCGGCTACCGGTGGATACATGATGTACTGTATCCTTTTCCAAACAACCAAACACGTAATCATGAAGATTCGCTAGTATTAATGGCCATAATGAGCTTGTATATATAATGATCGCACAATAAACTGTTTTCAAGGGCGTTCGAAACAAAAATATGAAGGATCCAACAAAACTATGGGTTACTATAGTCATAAAATGTAACTGCCAGCAAACCATAAATTATATAAATGACAAGCATCTATTGTAAACATTATTTCCAATCAAACTACGATCAAGATACAATCAATGGCAACCAGTTATTTCTAAACAAAAACAAGTATTCTAGATTACCAGTGCATGTAGCTTAAATGGGCCTCTGAGGGGCGTAGATATAAGTCTCGTACAGTTTTTGTCCATGACCTATCCCTCCAACAATTTAGACTTTGAAACGTTAGTAGCCTTTTGTCTTTCTGTAAACACTTGACATCGCTCCTTCAACCTGTTACCCGCACACATGCCCCACATAAAAACGTGTATGTAGTTATGTTATCACTTAAAACATCTAAGGACTTCAGAACTAGGGGGCATATACTGAGTGACGGTTCTATCAAAATTGGAGATCTATCAACCCTACATGATACATGACAAATTTGTTTTGTTGTTCTGTTAGGGTACTAAGCGTATAGCACTAGAAAAAGTTGGTTTTGTAAAACGACAAATCTTAAAGCGTTTATCACTTTTGAAACATACATAGTTTACAAAAAGGTACTAGTAGGTCTTTCGTCCAAAAACGGGATTTTGTTACACCGTTTCTAAAGGCCAAATATGACTAAACCAAAATATGTGGAAAAGAGCTGAGGTCTTACCTTGATATGCTTATCATATGTCGTGGTGGTTATTTTCACAAAAAAGTATAACTACACGCCATATTTTGTTTAACACCAGATCATATGGCATATGGATAACATGAATGATTCCTAAGTTTGTCGGGGTCAGCATTTTCCCAAACAGGGATACAGTAGCTGTGTACGTAACCGTACAAAGTCTGATAACCCTCCAATACTTGTGCATGACCCTTGCCATTGTTAGTGAAGACAAAGTTGTGTGTTTTGGGACGTACCTTTTGAAGTGAAATGAAAAACCCCTAAATCGTGTGTTAATCTACGTTCACGGTTTGAGTTCCTGTTTTTTGTTGTTGTCCTTTTTCTTTTCAGTCAACCCGCTTTCTTCCAATTCTTTCGTGTCTAATTAACTTTTCTAATCTTTCCACAGAGACCCCGTCCCTCCATACCAACGTTAATTACGTTTGCTTGTGTTGCGACGACCTAGTCTCTAGCTACGTCGAAAACTCGTTTATCAAGTAGAAAGTGAATTAAGCACACAGCAAACATTATGTAAGTCTGACAGGGTTGTATACATGCACATGTAGGACACTCTAGAAGTTAATTTGTAGCGATCTCACCTCATAAGTCATTTAGTTCCTTTCGCCAGGGTCTTGTCCAAAGTGCTGTCATTCTCCAAGACTGCAGTCATGTATCGACGTTTGCTGAGTTTATATATCCTTTTTTGAATCGCGTGTCACAATGGCAGTCTACAAAATCATACTCCGATGTTTGCGCCGCAGATTTTTTTAAGATGGCGGCAAGACGAGGGAGAATTTAGTTTGACAGTCCACCTCGCGGCGTTCTTACCGGGCAGGCTTACCTGTTCGCCCACCTGCTACTCCCATCCTCCTACCTGAAGTAGTGGTGTGCTGTAAGTTTTTTGCCTTCGGTAACCAGGCTGTGGTAACAAAGGGGCTCGTGCAAGAGGATCTACCCTAAACAAAGACAATTTTGGCTGAGAGAAAATGACTCCTGAGTTACCGTAATCGCAATCTTTGATTTCGGTAACATTACACCGCGTCGCAGGTCACAATGCTTATTTTGTCTTGGTGTGGTGTTACCGTAAAACAAATTTGCAAAAGTGTGGTTTTATTCTATTTTGTATTCAGCTTACCACATTCACCACAAGTCAGGAAAAGAATTTCACCATATAGCTAAAACAATAGGGGTAACTGCTGAAACCTCTCCTAAATACGCACGCAAGTGAAATACTGAATTATTTCATAGCTTATGAAGTGCTACAATAGACGATTCTACAGTACCGTCGTCTAGTGTAGTGTAACGTTACCTGCAGTTCGGGTCACCCCAGTCCTAGTGCGCCGTGAAAAGTGAGGTTTAAACAGGCAGTTGACCGGGACTGTACCCACTGTCTGAATGGAGAGGGTGCGTAAATTTTTAATGGTTTACACACGTCGGGCCTTCCATGTCAACTGCACCATAACAAATCCGCATACAGATATTTCTATCCTTTTAAATCATTACTTGTAGATGATACAAGAAAGGGTTTATGCTATAAACATTGTTTATACTTACGTAAGTTTTGGTATTGATCTTTGTTGGATATTTTCTCTTTTGTTGTTCTTAGTTATTTTCTAGACACTTCTACGTGCCTTTGTAACGTAATTGGGGACACACTTAATTGCATTAAGGTATGTCTCGGTGATCATTGGTCACACACTCCGTTGGTTAAGGAAACACACCAAGCTGTTGACAAAACAAGCGGTCGCTGTTTATAGTCCGTACAACAAGGGGTGGTGGCAAGATCAAGGTAACCTGGACCGCCGGGCGCCCTCTAAGGCTCGCAACCTCTGCGGTGTTTACGGTGTTAGAGAGTGCTGTTTGTCCCTGTTGCCACAGAGAAGGCCTGTTCGAGGTTAAACTGGCCATGCAACTAGATGCAAATCAAAGAAGCCTGGATCAACACGCACCGTCAAGGCTTGAAACATGTATTAAGTTTATGGTGTTATTTTTTATTAGAATGTGTTCCGCAAGGAGGGGGCATGCGAGCCAGGTTAAAACTGGTATTGTGTAAATGCATAAATGCAAGATCAAGGTAACCTGAAAAATCAGGCGCCCTCTAAGGCTCATATGTATGGAGTTGAAGGTGTTATAGACTGTTGTTTTGTCCCGCTCGCCACAGAGACATGCCTGCGAGCGAGGTTAAAACCGGTAATGTCCAAAATGTCCAAATCAGATGTTCATCATTCGCCAATGATTGTGATTGTTCAATATCAACCTTATATCTGTGAGAAACTCATTGATTAGAATAATGACACCACATCAATCAATCCACGATACTCTATTAAACATGAAATCAACACAACAGCATTTGTTTGGGCATGTCCTAAAGATCTTAACAAACAAGTGACGGTGCCCTTGTACTGTTATTTTACATGTACAAATCCACAGTAACATGCCGCATAATGTACAAAACTCATAGCTCAGTAATATAGTTCCGGGATAGTTGAATTATTCAAACGGCAGCGAAGTAAATGCATAGTCAAGTTTAATAGAATACAAACATATTTATATAGCAGTCACCAAATTAGGTCACATGTTGTATGTTTTACACACAATATTCTGTCCACAGGATAAGAACGCACAAACACAAAACACGTTCACACGCGTCAAAATACATGAAAGCACATACAATTACAGTTTTCGTCTATTACAATATAGAAATAAAAGTTATTATCTTCTGAAACCACAAAACCCCAGTACTCGGCTAAGGCCCGGTCACGTTCATCGTACGACAGACTCTCGACAGTCAAACTGAGTCATTTGACAGTCGTGGATACATCGTACACTGAATGTAACAGAAGCTGTTGTCATAGATCCTTTCCGACTGTCGGTTCTACCATGCTAGTAACCTCCCCAAAAATCGTGCGACGAAAAAAGTACGATGAATGTGACCCGGGCTTAGACAAGATTAGAAAGTCAAACACCACGCATAAAATAATGCAATTCCATTTACTTTATTTTCCATTGCGGCCAGTTGTAGCTGGAGCCTTTGTCGTCATAACGAAACCAATACTACAGAAATCAGGAGTTGATCAACTCTAGGATGGTTGTTGGATAGTTTTAGATTTGTGATGATCAAATCGTCTTCTCCCCTCTAGTTGGCTCCATATCCTGGATATCCCTCTGTGAATAAAATAAAACAAGAATGGTATAAGTAACTTATGTATTAAACAAATGCAAGGTATAATATCCCCCATGACGTTTCATTGACTTTATTATTAAAAAGTGTTTAAGAAGCATTGATACATATTGCACATTACTGACATTTCATGGTGCGGAGGTACTAAATTATCTTTTTTACCTAAGCATCAATTATCTCCCTCCTTGTTTCAATTCACATTAATAGTTTTGCACATGAGATCAAACCGTAATTGATCTTAATTGTACTAACGACTGAATAAGTGACAAAATGGGCGGAATCCTGATCTGCCTTTATCCTGGACACAACTCAGGTGTGACACTCACCGCAGTTCTCTTCATCCTCATTGTTAGGGCAGTCCTTTTGACCGTCACAGCGCATGCTCGGCATGGCGCAGCCTCCGGTACTCTCACACTTGAACTGCCAGGTTTCACATACCTTGTGATCTGTAGGTAAACAAACAAACAAACAAATAAATAAACAAACAGTAGTTAAAACGCGTCGTGTTGGAAATGTATGCATGGGTTGTGTGTGACAAGTGTTTCCAAAGTTCATTCTCTCATTCATTTGATGCACTAGACACAGCAGTTGGCGATGTTCTTGTATCACCATTGGAAAACAATCATACTAGTTGATGAATAGTGTTTTTTACGGAGCTGGTGTGTTCTTTAGTTAGTACTGTTGTGTGCAGTTTAGTGAGAGCTCGAAAGGCGTCGTACTTGTGTTGGCTGTAGCATCCGTAGCATATAATTACCGTGCGTGGTCTTTTAACTGTGTTTATCGCGGTCGCGTTAGACAGGTAGTCATCCGTAATACGTGTGACATTATTGGAGACATTTTGTTTTGGCGTTAGGGTTAGATGTAGTCTCCACGACCAACCCCCTCCCACTCTGTGTCTCGGACAAATGCTAGTATTTGGCGGGGTGTGATCTGGCTTGACCCCGGGCCTAAACCATCACGGCTCGTACTCACGGCAGTTCGCCTCGTCCTCCACGTCTTCTCCACAGTCCCTGAACCCATCACACACCCAGTTTCCCGGGATGCACCTGAATGAATAATGGCAATAATAACTTTATTGCAAACCAAGGCTGATTACAAAGATACACAAGAAAATGAGAAAGGTACATTGTTGTATAGTACACAATAAGGCCATGTTGATTTGATTATATGGATGCCATCCGCGCGCGCATGGATTTTCGGCCGTTTCCAAAAAAAAAAGTTTTCAACCATACTGTTAATCGTACAAAACAGTTGCAAAATGAGCAAAAATATACCGTAAGTTTAAAAAAATGAATAGATAAAAACTCTACCAATGTCGTAGAATGCCAAAATCAAACGAAAAAATACGAAATTGTAAAGAAATGAACTTGAAAACTAGATTATTCGCCAAACCATATTCTGTCCCATTTGTTCAACCCTCATGACCACGTAGATTTCATAATGAAAACAACTTTTTTTTTGCAAAACTTTTTTTTTATTCGCACGCGCGCATCAGTTTTGGGGCTCCCGGAGGATGTCATCCATATAATCAAATCAACATGGCCTAAGATGAACATGCAAAGTGATTTTAAAAACCTCAACTAGAGCTACTTCTAACAAGTTATTATTGTCTTTTATTCCTTTTCTGTAGTCAGTGGAATATGGAATGAACGACGTTTTGGGTGATGTACTAGTATTTATACATCAATTGCAATCACAAATTCTGTCATGTTAATCACAGGCTGGTTCTTTACCTGCTGTTACTTGTACACTGGAAGTCAGGGCTCTCACAGGTCCTCTCTGACAACGTCCCGCAGCCATGCTCGTCCATGCCGTTACCACAGTCCTGCTCGCCGTCGCACACTTGGCTCTCGTACACGCACTCTCCGTTCCCGCACACATGGCTGTTCTCCGCCTGGCACACCTCACAGCCGGCCTCGTCCGACCCGTCATCGCAGTCCTCTCTGTCGTCACAGCGGCGATGGCTGAAGATGCACAACCCCGAGCTGACGCACTTGAACTCGAACGAAAAGCAGTACGTCGAGATCGGATCGTCCACGGCGACACGTGCACAGTCCCTTTCGTCTGTCCCGTCCGCGCAGTCTTCTTTGTTGTCGCAGTGCCACTCCTCGGGGATGCAGTACCCGCTGTCGCATCGGAAGCGGTCGACACACGACATGGTGATGTTACACCCGACCTCGTCCGACCCGTCCGAACAGTCGGCGTCGTTGTCGCACCGAAAGCCGATGGGGTATTGTTCCCCGTTGTCGCACAGGAACTTGTAGGACTCGAGCTCGGGGCAGCCCGCCTCGTCCGATCCGTCCGGACAGTCGTCGCCGCCGTCACACTGCCAGGTCGAGCTGATGCACTTACTACCGTCCACGCATGCGAACTCGGAGGAGGCGCACTGGCAGCTGTCTTCGTCGGTCTCGTCTTCGCAGTCGTCGTAACCGTCGCAAACCCAAGAAGCGTCGATGCAAAGTGTGCCGTCATCGCAGGAGTGTTGGTTTTCAGGATCACACACGACCTCGTCCACAGAGCTTTCCACTGACGGCTCCTCTTCTCCCTCAGACGTCTCCATAGCTGCGGAACAGTCTGCTTCGTCTGAACCGTCTTGGCAGTCGGCCATCCCATCACAGTACCAGCCGGCGTGGATGCACCCGCCTCCCGCACAGGAAAACTGCTCGTTCGTGCACTCCCCGGTGAACTCGCAGTTGGACTCGTCAGCGCCGTTCTGGCAGTCCGGCTTGCCGTTACACCAGTGCTCCGCGGTCAGGCACTTGTCCCCATCACAGCGGTACATGCAGCCGGGCACCACCTCCTCCTCCTCCTCCGGCGGCGTGGGGGTCACGGTGGTAGGACTTGCGGTTGTACCAACGTCACAATCCGCCTCGTCGTACCCGTCGGAACAGTCGGAGTTACCGTCGCAGAGAAGAGAGTCGTCAATGCACTCCCCATCTCCGCACTGTGTCTGGCCATCAGGACAAGGGTCTGAATAGAAAAAAAACATGTCATTCATTTGGAAATTAAAGTGTAGGGGAATGGGTATCTAATAGATATTAGTAATAGTTTTAGAACAGTGTCCAGGCTGGATTAAATGCGTGTTGGGAATGCATGTACTGTCTATATGTGGATAGTGATACACTAAAGCCACGCCGCACAAGTATAATTCTGACTGATTCATTTCTGAATAGATATATTGTGAGCATTCACACAGAACAACACAGATAGATTAAGAAAAAGATAAATCCAGCTTGTCAGACTGACCGAAGACCACCAGAGATGGAAGACTTTTTGTGACGTGCATGCTGCCCTACGGCCCCGTGTCTACAGGACTGAGTGACGTGAGACTGAAGATAAAACTATCATTCACGATTGAAAGCTTACCGCACATCGGTAGGCCACACCAGTCCCATGCCATGCCTACGTCCGTGGTGTAGCACCAGAGCCTGGCCGACTCGCTCGGATTCCGGCAGAAATTGTTTCCCTCCAGTCCGTATGACGGGAAGTTCTCAGGTGTGTAGTAGTGCGCGTTTGGTGTCTGGCTGTCCCAGCGTTGGCACGTCCTCCCTGTTGACGTCACGGAGGTTGTCCCACGGTAAGACACTCCAAATCTCACCTGGCAGTCTCCTGGTAGTTTAGGGAGAAATGAAACATCTCGTCAATGTGACGTCTGACATGAACCACGGATTAACGGACCAACCCTAAGGACTGCGACCCTTTCCAGGAACGAGCATGTGGCGGGAGGGCGACAACAGCCGGGATTTGAACTCTTGGTTGGTACTTCTTGGTTCAGAATCAGGATCAGTATTTACTGGAACTGGAATAATATGAGAATGCTAATAATACATGTATACACCAATGCGTTAAATTACACATGAATTGAAGTCTAGCATAGACGTAGTGTACATCAATCATACGTTACTTCAAAGCTAAGTCAGAGCTACTTACCCGCCGATTGTCCCGATTCCCCGCTCGCAGCTCCAACCGTCTGGCTCACCACGGTTTCCTACCATGCTCTGCAGAGCCTCCTGGATTTGTGCCATGATGGCGTCGATGTCGAACCCAGAGCCGGACGGGGCCGTGCCCACGCTGTTCGGGTCCTCGTGCAGCTGCGCCCCGCTGACCACCTTGTTCTCCAGGCCCTCTACTCTCTCCAACATCGGCTCCACCTGGCCCGGGAATTCCGTTTGAGTTTATTTAGATCCACATTTAGCTTGTAACAAGTTTCATTGTCCCTATTCTTCATGTGGTCCTTACTCCCCATGGCCCAAAGCTACATGACATTGCACAAAACCACTTGGTCCACATAACACACTAAAAACTATACAGAATACACATGTACAGAGCATTCACAAAAGAAGTGAAAAAGATAAGTGTTGATGAGGTCCATACCTGCTCCAGTATCTCAGCTTTCTCTTCAAAGGTAGCCATGTCCGCGGCCAAGGCTTCTTGCTCTTGGTGTAGCGTCTGGATCTTGGTCTCCATGTTCTTTAAGCGGGCCAGTTCCCCCTTGGTGCCTTGCATGTCGGTTTCCACCTTGCCAATTCGTGACAGGAAGGCGAGTTTCTCCTCCTCGGCCCTTTCCTGATTCTCCGTGACCCTCGACTCAAGGACGACGACTCGAGTGTCGACATCCTCCAATTGGGCTGTAGAGAAAATGTGTATGCTAGAAACTTGACATCTCTTGGTATGCTTAGAGTGGTACGTGTTTACACTAAAAAACTGCTACACAAGTTTCATCTCAGACATCGTCGCGGAAGAAAACCATGGCTTGAAGCATGTGACCAGGCTTTGACCGACTCACCGGCAACGGCAGCGACCGAGTCCTGTGTTTCCGCCAGGGCGGGCCCATAGGCGACCTTTTGTAACGATCCCAGCTGCTTTTCAGCCTTCTCAAGTCGTGCTAGAAAATTCATAATACCAAATGACATGTCGTTATAGTACCACTATAAAGCGTATAGAAATACTTTCCCAAACATCACTCACAAAACCAACTGCTATAAAACACAGACAACATGTAATTACGCACCTGCCACGATGTCCAGGGTAAGTTTAGGTTCGGGAGCAGGAGCAGGCGCAGACGACACGCCGGTCTGGTCCCTCAGAAGAACGACAAGGCTCACCGTCATCACCATGGTGACAACACTTTTTCCCGCCATCCTGAATTCCCAGAGGAGTAGAGAAGAGATAGAGACTAAATAAGCAACGTTATAAACATATGGTCTTTTGTAAAACCCATTTTCAGTTCATGTTTACCTTTTCCGACAGGTATTATGTTTGTTTGATGATTTCGAAAGAAAATATTGCTGTCGTGTTCTTTATCTCTGTCGGAGAGATTTTTCATGAAAGGAATCGTTACAAACTAAATCAAACGTCAAACTAAAGTAACCAGATAATTTTGCGCTTGAGTATTACTGCAATAGCACACATAAAATAGGATTTGCATTTAAAGACGTTTTTGTCTTTTTTCCTTCTTATAACCACTACAGTCTAAACTATTAATACTAAAAATCTGTGAACTAGATTTGAAGAAAAAATGAACTTTTAACGAACCTTGCGTTGCCCTGTAACGCTTGGCTTTAGTGTACGGCCTCGGCAGTGGTTCTGTGTAGACTTGTAAGACAGGTGTTTGTTTGCCAATATTTGACCGGCCAGGTGCTATCTCAGACAGTTACGACAACTAATTACCGCAGTATTTGCCCAAGGTTCCCATCGCAACGATAATGGTCACCAAGGTCGTTCACAAAATGAATGAAAAACTAATGTAGCTTTAATTTGAAACTGACCTGCAGTAATTAGGAAGTAATTTAAAAAGCGTCTCTTGATGTATTGAAAATCGTAATTAAAACTTCACAGGCGCTAACTAGTTAGTTTAACAAAACTGTTCAAACGTGCCGTTACTGATTAGCGTCGATGGGGGGCTCTGCTATAAGATTACTAACTTATTAGTAGGAGCGTGGTAGCTTTTTAAGAGGCAATTACGTTTTGGTTCATCAGGAACTCATTCCCTTCTAATTGCGACAACGTGTCAAGATGAGAAAAGTTACTGTTTTTTGTGTATTTATTAGGAGACTAGTGACCCCTGACCCGTGTTGTGATTGATTGTACGTTCGTCTCTTGTGGTCCAAGATGACCGAGATTTCTTCTTGTGTGACTGGTTGTGGTTTATGCGCTACCGGTCTTACTTTTGTCTTTATTTGAATTTCTAATCAAACAACAATGACTTGTAAGAAATATACACAATATAAATGTAAAACGAAATGAACAATACTTTACATGCAGCCATTTGGTACTAGATAGTAGCTTTATATGTGACCCCGCCCTATTTGCTCACTGTCCGTGAAACTGTGTTTGTGTGACAATGAAGGCCAACTTTTCTGTCAGCCAGAAGTCATTCCTCTCACATATTTGCGAGCACGTCGGCAGAACGTACTGCACCTGCGCGAAACCCGTAATGTATTGTACTTAGCACTTTGGCAGAACGTCTCATATAAGGTCGTATTTGCGCATACAAGGTTAGCATTCCGTCTGTAGCTTTCAACTGTCATGTCGGAAAAAATATCGTCTGCATCAGGCAAAATTCTGATGCAACGTTGACCAAATGTCCAAAGAAAACCGTGAAAAATTGGGGGTTTGCACAGGCGCAGTACGTTCTTACGACGTGCTATATTTGCGTAATTACGGATTAACCACGTTATTTCACGATTCAAATTTGCGAAACATTTTATATTTTTTCGCTGCACTCAGTTTATATATATGTATTACACGCCTTCAGTTTCTCCGTCTAATTGTAATACATGGCGTCATATAAATGACCACAGCAGCTCCAAAGAAAGCAAAAAAGCAGCTATTTCGTTGAAAACCACGCCAGATACTTACTACCCAAACATCTATGCCCTTCTTAAAATCAAGACCATAGCATGTCCACAGCACGAGATATCATATCCATATACCCCGATGCAGTATCTTACAAAACCGCTAGAGTACCGAAAATTGACCTTGACCTTTCTTTTCCCAACCTTATCCTACCTACCAAATATCCATGCAGCACCAAACCCCAAGTTATAACTGGTTACAAAATCAGCAACCCCTACATATGGTGTACCTAAACACATACATGTAACCTTCTGACGATGGCAATAATCCAATCAAGCGAAGAGTCTTCCTGGAGTCACCATGGTATCAAACATACAATGGAGTCACATTATCTTCAAACTACGCCATGCGTATCATATAGTAGTCGCTACGCGGCGTTGTGATCGCATCAACATAGTCAGAGGAGAAGCACTGATCTTACGGGGGCACACCCCAGTTTATTTGGGGCCTCTTTTCGAAGCTGCACACCCTCAAATCTAGCGACCGTCTCTGGCGTGGAATAATTCGGAAGGAGAATAACTGTATATGGGACGAAAGGGTATCTCTTCAGCTACAAGACAAGCTGAGTTTGGTTTCTTCAACCTTTTTAAGTTTGGTAAAATCAACGGAAAAAACATTATTTTCACTCCAAAATTAATGCCCAAAATTGCGAATTTTCGCGTAGGATAATCCCACAATAAAAAATTTTCCGGCAGAAATGACTGATGCTGGCAGAAAGACCCAAGCCTTGACTATACCCGAGTAAATTATAAAGAAAATTCTAGTACTGTAATTTTCTAAACAGTCCACGGCGCGAGGGGTTGCAAATCCACCCCTACGAAGCCACAGAGCGAAAACTAGGTCAAACGGGCGGATTACACTTGGCGCGCAAGGATACCCGGAAGTAAGGTTCGGAGCCAAAAGAAATTTTCACCCCAAAATCACCATTTATTACACTCTTCAACCATGTTAATGTTTAATGATACTTCGTGGCAGTTTATAAGAAATGTCACCTCAAACTTGGACCCTCAAAACCCTTTCGTCACTTTTTTACAACGGACTATCACGGGGTGTGCACCGTTAAGTGACGGTGTTTCTTTTTTCTGTTGCACGCTTGCCAGAAACATACTGTACATCTTGTGTAATGTAGATAAAAATAGGATTTCACATTCAAAGTGTTATACCACTGACGTTGGACTTTTTTTATGAATTAATAGAGATTCCTACTATACAAAGTTTTATCATTTTTTTTGCAAGTTCGATGCCCTACGGCTAATTCCAGGTAACTGGACATGGCAACAGCGAAATGATAAAAGCGGCTAATCTACATTCTACTATGTCTGTGGTGTTTGACGTCTTTTGTGTAAGCAGTAGAGGACATAATGCCCTACTTATTACCTTCGCCAAGAAGGTTATGTTTTCAGTAGCGTTTGTTTGTCTGTCTGTCTGTTTGTGAACAGCATGACTCAAGAAGATTAGTATGCATTGTCATGAAACTTGGTAGGTGGGTAGGACTTGATGAGACCTAGAAATGATTAGATTTTGGGCCCCCTGGCGGCTTTTGTTGGTACTGCAGCAGAACTTCCGGTTTTGATATCTCGCGATCTGGACATGCTAGGGTCACGAATTTTAGTTGGTAGATAGCTCTTGTGGCAGGGAAGAAGTAACATGAGTTTGGGCTTTAATTTGTTCTGGAACTGCAGGAGCATTTGTTGAAAAATTTTCGAAGGATGATAACTCAAGAACCGGTTGACGGATTGTCGTGATTTTTGGAATGTAGGTAGCTGAAGGGATGCTTGACATAATCAAATGACAGTTATGCAAATCAGGAGCTAATTTGCATGATTAATGAGGAAATTGTATAAATCTGCTTTGTTCGATAATAGGACTATGAAACACTTGTGACATGTAATTGAGAATAAAAAAAACATCTGTAAATGAAGACCTAATTTGCATAATTAATGGGAAATTTTTATAATTTCATAGTAATAACTACTGGGAATTTCATACTTGCCACATTTGGAAGTTAAGTGAAGGCGAACATCAATAAACATAATTTATTCAAATCATGACCTCATTTGCATTATTTATGAGGAAGTGCTATAATAGCCTTTTTGTTAAGATAAGACTGTCATTGGGTGGAGAATATGATCAACTGATATAACCCATGCAAATGAGGATCTAATTTATCAAAATTGTATAATACTTCAACCGCAAGGGTTAACATCAGTTGGCGAAGGTATGAGATCGTGGAACTTTGTTCCTTGATGTGTAGATTTTGAGTAGTTAAAAGAAAAGTATCTCATGATCATGCGTGCGCGCGTTTTCGTGTGATGGAGAGGCATGAGTTGAAATTCTGTTGTATATTTACAATGCTTATGATATTCTTTTGCAGGCAGGTAGTTTTTTGTAGCGACCCTTTTCTATCTAAGGAGTGGGCACTAACTAATTTTGATAATAGCGAAGCGCAGATTGAAGTCTACAAGTTCAGATATTTATCTGTGTTGTACATAGTCTACTACTTACAATTACGTATACTACTATATTACCTTCCCTCTAAAACGATTTCCTTCTATAATGCAAAAAAAAAAAACAAGAGTCAATTAACACGAAATCCGAAATTGATAGTTTTAATGTGATTCCACACAAAACACGCAAACACATTCTTCCCGGAAACGTACAGCAAAGTACAAATACCGGAATTCGTTTGTACAACAGATAGTGACGTCAACACACAGGCTGTGGCGGTGCTGATTGTGCTATAGAGGAATACTTATTGTCATGATTAATCCCATCCATCTAATGTGCCCAACATGGTAAGCTAAGCATGCATGCCGGACCCCTGCTAACCTATTCCAACATGCTTGGTTATGTCCAGTTTAAGGACATCATCATCATGTATAAGGTATCGTCAACTAGTGATCAAGCGTTATCAATTGGTGTGTATGAAAACTGTGAAATGCCGAGGAGCAGTAGTAGTATAGTAGGGATAGATTAAATCATTAACACAGAAGTTACAAGTTCTAAACATCAGCTCTTATCGAAGGTTACAGAATCCAAACTAACAGGCTGGTACGTCACAGTACCCCCATCTCTCGAAGAGAAACACGCTGTAGCACCAAACTCTTGGCTCGCCGTCCGGATTCCGGCAGTAGTTCGAGTCCAGTCCGGAGTCTGGGCGATCACTTGGTGAGTTGCTGTGGGGTGGGGGAACTGACTGTCCCAACGCTGACACTCGTGGCCTGATTCGGTCCGAGAGACTGTTCCTCGGTAGCTTTCTCCGTTTCCATCCTGGCAACTTGCTGGTTGGTGAAAGTTAAAAAGAGAGGTATTAATAAATATAACAAACGCTGTCTTGCACGGCAAGTTTACTTTTCAGTTTTTGACAAAATATTTATACGAATACACACAACAAAGTTCAGCTATGCTGGGGAGCTTTCGAGACGTTACACTGTCTCTTCTTCAACCCGATTGAGATCTCGTCTTGGAGTTCTCTTGTCACGTGACTTGATGGGATAATCACGTGACAAGAGACAGTCATATACAGGTTTTAGGTAGTGACGCCCCCTGTCCTTGTTTAAGGTACTGCATTGTCGGCGGATCTGGATTGCCTCTCGGACACCCCTTGCAAACCAATCGGAATCTTGATCCAGCACTTTAACCCTGTCCCAGTCTATGTTGTGTTTCTTCCTGGCGACGTGCTCCACAATACTTTTCAGTTATTTTTCATCGCTATACGGAAGCAAATCAACCTGACTTTTTGGCTACGCCTGAGGAGGGAGCTTAATGGTACAGTATTGTGTACAGTTGCAAGAATTCTAGGAATTGTACAGAAATTTATCCACAGCAATTTTTATCCACAGCTCCTACAGCTCTGGAATTTTGCTTCAACTCCACTGCATTTGAACAGGTACTTATGTATCTTTTTCTCCATATTATAATATATCTTGTGTACATCACAGGCAGTTGTACTTGAATATAACATCACATGTGCACATCAAAGTGTAGACTGAAGCACCTGTTCTGGAACAAAATGAGCTATTTGACTAATTTTCATCATCCTTGTCTAACGTTTGTTTCCTTTTAGACCTTCAACAAAATTGTCTTCACTGATTTTCCATTGCCAGTCTTGTTTCCATTTCTTTGGAAACTGTTGTATTTTGAAATGATGTATTTTGCATGCTTTAGCTATTTCTTCAAAATGTACATTCTGCATACGCTCCTCTATCATTGCATAGCAGCAAAATGACCTGCAATTCCCAATGGAATACCTTGATTATTACCTTAGGCATGGAGAATACATCCGGGATGTAAATGTCCAAAAGGAAAAAATTATTCTAAAGACATATCAAGAATATAAAGGGAAGGGAATTGGAGCACACTCAACCTCACAACACTACACTACAGGTAATTTGGATTTGATGCCATTCATATCGCACAGGAGTTGAAAATAACACTTTTGATAAATACATAGATTGTCCGGTGAATAGAGTAAGTCACATGAATAACGAGACTCTTTTTACACAACCGTACCAGGAGTTGTTTTGGTCTGACAGACGGTCACCCAAACGTCGGCTGAGTAAACTTCCTGGTTGTCTTGTTATTCTTGTTCATGCAGTTTTGCTAGATATTTTCAAGACGAAATTTTGACGCAAAAATGATGAATTATGTACTCACTCATACTACAGATAACCCCAGCATCCTCACTGTGTCCGCAGTTATGGCTGCCCCATCCGTTGTGGCCACATAGGGATACGCTGTCCTGATACCAGTGGCAGCCCACATTATCCATCCATATCGGCCCCGAGCCTTGGCCGAAGTGGGCGTAACGTTTCGCTGCAGCTGCATGCTGGTAGCCCAGCTGACGGCAAACTACTATTGCGTCATTAATGTCCCAGTCGTCATCACAGATCGTTCCCCATTGGCCGTCGTGAAACACCTCAACTCTCCCCTGATGAGCGGCGCCTCCGCCTACGATACGGACGTCTAGATGTAGAAAAAAAGGACAATACTTACCATGTATACTGATCTAAATTTTCACTGTAAGGAGATAGTCCTTTCAAGACGAAATTAAGATGTGAACATGATGAATTATGTGGTCTACTTACTCTTTGAACAGACAGCTCCGGCATCCTCATGGTGCCCGCAGTTATGGCTGCCCCATCCGTTGTGGCTACACTGCCCCATCATCGTCTCTCCGCCGGTACAGCCCACATCATCCATCCATATCGGCCCCGAGCCTTGGCCGAAGTGGGCGCTACTTTTCGCTGCATCTGCACCCGGGAAGCCCAGCTGACGGCAAACTACTCGTGCGTCATTAATGTCCCAGGCGTCATCACAGATCGTTCCCCATTGGCCGTTGTGCAACACCTCAACTCTACCCTCGTGGTAGTAGCTTCCGCCTACAAGACGGACGTCTAGATGTAGAAAAGAGACAAAACATTTTTTTACTCTGTACACCGGTACCGATCTTCACTGTAAGGAGATAAGCCTGAGATTAATAAAAACCACCGTGTGGCAGATTGATGTTACGTTGTATCGGTTTAGGTTTAGTCAGTCATATCATTTATCATGCCCAGGCGACCACCAGTCGACGGGTTGTGGTGGGTTCTTTAACGTGAGTGGGGTGTGGCTCTCCCAAACACGGGACCTCCATTGAACGTCCTATCCGAGGGACGTATCTAACCGAATTCGAACCCGGGGCCTCTTGGGTTTGAGGCGAACACTCTACCGTTACACCACACGACCCCACAATGCATTGTACTGCACCATATTATTTTTAGCCTGGTTACCAAACCTACTCGTATTATAGCTCCCGAGTTCTACATCCTCTCTCTCCAACTACTTAGTATTTGCGGAGATGATGTAGGACTCGGGAGCTATAATAGGTTTGGTAACCAGGCTATATTATTTTTGTCACATTGTATTGCACCATATGAGCGCTACCTTCTGGGACTGCATAAGGAGTACTTGGGGAGTTTGCCGAGTACTGATCATCGACATTTTGATTCTTGAGGGACTAGTGAGTACTTAATCGTAAACTGAGAAGCAGTATTTGTTTTTTGCTTTCTGAAAGTAGTACCTATTCAAAACTGACGCCCATTTTACTTACAGTTTGTACACTCAACCCCGGCATCCTCGCTGTGTCCGCAGTTATGAACGCCCCATCCGTGGTGGCTACAATGTGATATGACCGTCTCACTGCCGGTACAGCTCACCCCATCAATCCATATCGGCCCCGAGCCTTCGCCGAAGGGGGCGCTACCTCTCGCTGCATCTGCATCCGGGTAGCCCAGCTCACGGCAAACTACTCGTGCGTCATTAAAGTCCCAGTCGTCATCACAGATCGTTCCCCATTGGCCGTTGTATAACACCTCAACTCTTCCCTCATGAGGGTCGCTTCCGTCCACGAGACGCACGTCTAGATGTAAAAAAAATCAAAAGTTTACTTTGTATCTGAATTTTCACTATATATATAGCTAGGGCGACATTATTTGGCCGGAGTCGCCTGATAGAGGCTGATTGACTAGATAACAGGAGGTAAAAAAATCTCATACCTTCGTCGTTTGTTATCTGTGTTGGCTTTTCTATAGATGATGATTTGTTTTGCCGTGTGTTATGCGATGTATTGTTCAAACATATGATTTTTCGCTATTTTTGCAGTATCTTATTTTTTTGAAATAGTCCTTTCAATATGAAATTCAGACGTGCAAACGATGAATTATGTGGTTTACTTACTGCTTGTACAGTCAGCCCCCGCATCCTCGCTGTGTTGGCAGTTATGAACGCCCCATCCTGCGTGGCTACATCGTGATATGCTCGTCTCACCACCGGTACAGCTCACATCATCCATCCATATCGGCCCCGAGCCTTGGCCGAAGTGTGCGCTAGCTCTCGCTGCATCTGCACCCGGGTAGCCCAGCTGACGGCAAACTACTTGTGCGTCACTAATGTCCCAGTTGTCATCACAGATCGTTCCCCATTGGCCGTTGTATAACACCTCAACTCTCCCCTTATCATCGGCGTTTCCGCCCACGAGACGGACGTCTAGATGTAGAAAAAAGACACAATCTTACTTATACACTAATCTGATTTTACTGTGGAGTGATCATCCTGAGAAACTTTGGCTGATTGACAGAGGTAGTAATTGTGGAAAGGAAGGCTATGGCAAAATTTAGACACAAAAATGATGAATTATTCAATGTACTTACTGTTTGTACAGATAACCCCGACATCCTCATGGTGCCCGCAGTTATGAACGCCCCATCCGTTGTGGCTACATTGGGATATGCTCGTCTCTCCGCCGGTACAGCCCACATAAACCATCCATATCGGCCCCGAGCCTTGGCCGAAGTGGGCGCTGTATTTCACTGCATCTGCACCCGGGTAGCCCAGCTGACGGCAAACTACTCGTGCGTCATTAATGTCCCAGCCGTGATTACAGACCGTCCCCCATTGGCCGCCGTACAACACCTCAACTCTACCCATATTGAAGTTGTATGGATGTGCACCTGCCAGACGGACGTCTAGATGTAGAAAAAAGGACAAAAGCTTACTTTGTATACTGATCTGAATCTTCTCAGTGGTGCGATTATAATGGAACAGCCTTCAGACAAACATACGAACAATTTCCTCTTTTCTGACTTTTAAAAATACCCTGAAAGCCCATCTTATAAACCACCCCAGCCCCCTGTATTAGATTCATATCTTCAGTTATTATTCTTTCAGTTATTTTATGTATACTATTGTTTCATCATTGTTATTGTTACATTTTACCTATGTTTGAATTATTTTGCTAACAATTTCTTATATATGTATGTATTATTTCATATCAATTTCATTTCATCTCAATTTATGTATACTATTGTTTCATTATTGTTATTGTATCATTTTGCCCATGTATGTATTATTTCAATTCAATTATGTTTAGTTTTGGTTAGTATAGAGGAGGAGAGCTCAGCATAAGCTAAATAAGCTTTTTCCCTCCTCCTGCACCTGTTTTATTTATTATTAGTGTATTATGTATAATTTTTATTGCTGTTGTGCAAATGAACAAACAAACAAAGAAACAAACAAGAATTAGCCTGAGACAAGTTGGCTGATTGACAGAGGTAGTAGAAAGGCCAGGACTGAAAACTCACGCCACCGTGTGGGAGATTAACGTTACGTGATAAATATAACGTTACGTGTTACGACTGCATATTTAAGGTACACTTTTCCAAACAATATTTTGACATGGAAATTGTAATGTAGTATAAAGAGACGTAATAACTATGCTATCTTACATAATGTCCCTGCCTTGCACCCAAAAGGTGTGTATGTACATGTACGAGTATGTGTATGCGTGTGTGTATTTGGGTTAGGATAACTCAAGACGCTATAAATGGATTGTCCTGACACTTGATTATGGGTTGGTCTGGATGGATTTGACCAGTGGGATGGACAGAAGACTTGACCACTGGAAGATGGGCCGGGCTGACTCGGCCGAAATGGCACCGGTCCGAGTTTTCCGATAAGCGGTCTTGATGAGACCTTGAAATGGTTTGATTTGGAGCCCCCTGTCTGCTTGCTATGGTACTGCAGCGGAACTGGTTTCAGGTTTGTTATTTCGTGATCTGGAAATTGTAGGGTTACGAATTTCGAATGGTAGATAGACATTAGTTTGAGAAGCCTTGCAGCCTGTTCTAGAACTGCAGGAGCGTTTGTTTAAAAATATTCGAGGGACCATAATCGATTAATTATGCGATCTACTTACTGTTTGTACAGACAACCCCGGCATCCTGGCTGTGTTGGCAGTTATGAACGCCCCATCCTCCGTGCCAACATTGGGATATGCTCGTCTCACCACCGGTACAGCCCACATCATCCATCCATATCGGCCCCGAGCCTTGGCCGAAGTGTGCGCTAGCTCTCGCTGCATCTGCACCCGGGTAGCCCAGCTGACGGCAAACTACTTGTGCGTCACTGCTGTCCCAGCTGTCATCACAGATCGTTCCCCATTGGCCGTTGTACAACACCTCAACTCTCCCCGAATGGAAGTCCCTTCCACCTACCAGACGGACGTCTAGATGTAGAAAAAAGGTAAAACTGACTTACTTTGTACATGACATTTCATTCTACAAATTGTCTGATTGGCAATTGGACTGTCAAAACTTATGCGCTATCGCGAGGTATATCATGTCGTTTTATCACATCGTTTATCGTACAAAAACGTAAAGTCTCTGCAATTCATCAAATTCAATGCATGCTATATAACATTAGCCTGACTAATCGCGCTCCTGGCGGTCGGCCGCCCCAAAGTCTTGGGGTGGGGGTCATTAACCTCCGGCCGAGAGCTTGTGTAACACAGGCTAAGATAACACAGAATCAGAGCACGCTACCGTTACAATATCGTCAACGTCCTTTTCACAACATAGTCCGCGTATTCTAGTTTGTTTATAAGAGCAATACACATCGGAAAATGGTCATTTTCATGTCCTTACAAAATATGGACTCATAATAATGCCATTCCAAATTCCAAAATCTAGAATGAAAAAAACGACACCCCCTATTCAATAAAGGAATCTTCCGCAAAACTTAAACAGATAATATTGGAAAAATAGAAAAGAAAAAAGGTTAAAATTTTACTTTATTGACAGTCCTTAGCAAAAAGTGTTGAAAAAAAACGCCTAAATTAAAATAATAAAAAAGCAGAAAAAAGTTGAATTTGGCTTCTTTGACAGTACTAATAAAAACTAATATATTACATAAAAAAGATAAAGTAAAAAAAAAGAAATACCCCTGGACTTGGATTCCCCGACCTCCCACTTAGGAATCCATTGACTTATCAATTGAGCCACGATTATTCGCACTCGTGCCTATCTATAGATTATATAAAGTACCTTACAGTACAGTGTAACTTCCAACAACCCACTGTACCTCCATACCAAATACGTACCAAGAGGAAACATGAGGAAAACAATATGTCTTCACCACTCCACTACCTGATGTTGGTGAAGCCATAAAAATGATTATTCAAAATACTCACTGTTTGTACAGACAACCCCGGCATCCTCGCTGTGTCCGCAGTTATGAACGCCCCATCCTGCGTGGCTACATTCGGATATGCTCGTCTCATTGCCGGTACAGCTCACATCATCCACCCATATCGGGCCCGAGCCTTGGCCGAAGAAGGCGCTGTATTTCACTTCCTCTGCACCCGGGTAGCCCAGCTGACGGCAAACTACTCGTGCGTCACTGATGTTCCAGTCGTCACCACAGATCGTTCCCCATTCACTGTCGTACAGCACCTCAACTCTCCCCGAATGGGAGTTCCTTCCACCTACCAGACGGACGTCTAGATGTAGAAAAAAACAAGGGTGGTGTTTAAAAAACACACCGGCGACGCATTTTAATGATATAATTATTACCTTCGCCAAGAAGGTTATGTTTTCAGAGACGTTCGTGTATGTGTGTGTGTGTCTGTGTGTCTGTAAACACGATAACTTGAGAAGGCCTTGATGGATTGTCTTGATACTTGGTAGGTGGGTAGGTCTTGATGAGACCTCAAAATGATTAGATTTAGCGGCTTGTTATGGTACTGCAGCTAAACTTCCGGTTTTCATATCTCATGATCTAGACATGTTAGGGTGACGAAATTTAGATGGTAGGTAGCTCTTGTGCTGGGGAAGAAGTGACGTGAGTTTAGACCCCCTAGCGGCTTGCTCTGGAACTGCAGGGCTATATGTTTGAAAGTATTCAAAAGAGGATAACTCAAGAACCGGTTGATAGATAGTCGTTATTGTTGGTATGTAGGTAGCTTACGTGATGCTTGATATAATTATGTGATTTGCATAATTTATAGGGAAATTCTATAAATCAGCTGCATTCCACGATAGGACTATTGAAGCTCGTGAAATTGGTAATTGAGAACACAGGCAGATATTGATTATGTAAATGAAGACCTCATTTGCATAATTAATTTTATAATTATGTAATGATAAGTGCCTTTAATTTCATACTTGTGGTATTTGAAAGATAAGTGAAGGTGAACACTTATTTTTATCTTATGAAAACATAATGTATTCAAATTAGGACCTCATTTGCATAATTTATTAGGAAAGGCTAGAATGGCATTGTTTGTTAATATAAGACTGTACATTGCGAATATGATAAATTGATATCCATGAAAATGAGAATGGAAATGAGCACCCTATTTGTTAAATCAGGGGGAATAATCTATAATTTGTCAGTCATAAAGATTAACATTATTTGGCGAAGGTATGAGATCGGGGAACTCTAGTTATATTATAGTATAAATTTGTAACCCTTTTGATATACCTTGTTTAAAAGGAATTTTTCTTATAACGGATTGTTGTTTTAGTACTACTAGTATGTCAAAATGTGTGTGCTTTTAACACCGTATTGTATGTAGGAAGTTGTATTGTTTGTTTTTGAGGGTGCTAATATGATGCATGCATCAACGACTGATGAAATGTGTACCCTGAGCTGTAACTCACAGTCGTATGGATTTATGTTTGATTATTTAGGAAGTACGTGAGTAAGGTATAGTTATTAGAAAAGAATGGTATCTGACGCAAGTATTACCAAATAAGGATGAGCTTTATAATAGGTATTGCCATATATAATAGACACGCTACGTGTACACCCAGTGGGTCTCCACCAGAAAGCAGACCGGGCGCTCGTCCAAGGTTCCCCAGATATCTGGTGTCTCCATATTCCACCTAACATGTCTGACTTTCCTCAGCGCCTTCAGAAATTCACGGAGGCGCTGAAGGGACTTGTGCAGAACTACCCCAAGGTCACAGTATGGGACCACAGACGTCTGTGGAGACGCAACCCAAATTGCAAACTACTTTGGGCCTGACGGCCTACACTTGTCCGATCTGGGAAACATCCAGTATTACAAAAGTGTCCGCGGGGCTTTAGACCGCCACATGCTCCTACACAGCGTCCTATTAAAGAACCCTATTGAATATGCGTGTGTGAGTCTTTTGTGCAATACATTATACAGCCGCATCACACAGACGATCCTGGGAAGGAGATCATGCTGGGCGAGGCAGACTGTCCGGGGAACGAGTTAATTATTGACGGGCCAATGCCCAAACTCCCTCCGTGGCTAAGTTCCTTTTCGTGACTAACTCCCTTCTGAGGTAACGGTAACGAACAAGCGTCGAATATAAACAGATTTTTCACTCGTCTGTTGTCGGAGTGTACGAACTAAAAAAAACTTTGTGAGATTACGGACATCATCACAAAAACTTTGTCCATTCTTGTGGTTATTTTCAGGCACGTGCTCCCATGCATAACGCCGCAACCAGGATTTTTCAAACTAGTACGGAATTAGGGGTAGGTCGGAATTAAGGCACCCCCTCAGGATCTAAGTATTTATCTCTGTTTATCGAGAGATGCTGTTTTCCCTAGCGTCGCCAAAGAAAGGTACTTCGTATAGGTCCGTTTCAAATAGTGTATTACCACTGTGACAACATTTTATACCCCAAAATAGGAATCTTGCGTCTTG